TCATATCCCGGCCGACCAAGATGAACAAGACTTCGCTGACCGACTTCTGAAACAGAAGGAGAGTCGGATGTTGGAGTTGGATATGGCACCGCTGTCGGAAGAGCGCAGGGCTAAGATCCGTCGGGCCTTTGTCAATATGGTCCTTGAAGTGGAGAAGATGAAAAAACCCGACTTGGCAAACATGTGTATTGAGACGATCGCTGAGGCGTTTGTTGTCGAGACTTTGGAGGGCTTATCCGATGAGGAATTAATGGAAGCAATTACCGGCTTTGCCTTGAGGAAAGTGGCCGAGGACGACGCCAAAGCCAAAGGGTGGCTAACCGAATTGATCCCCTCTGACGACGACCGAGTCTTGCACGAGGACGACGATGTCGTCATTATAAAAGAGAGTGACGTCGTCCGTGCTATGGAAGAGAAGGAGGAAGAGGTGATGCAACGCCCGAGCGAAAGATTGATAACCCATCTGGAGGCGGCAGACAAGGGCAAAGCCGAAGCTGGGAAATCCCAATCTTTCACAGCCGGAGAAGCTTCGTCGTCGGGGACCCAAAAAGATGCATAAAATTTGTTATCTGTCTGTCTCTTTTCTTCTTCTTCTTTTTTTTTTTGAGTCGTATGTAATGACAATTTCCTATGATTAATGAAATTTAATGTTTTGGTTTTATGTTTCATGAATGGGTTGTTTTGACATTTATTGTACCAAGTCAAGACATGTCGGAGAAGAACAAACGAACGTTTAATGGATCATGCTCGTAATTACTCCGACGTGATACTTAATACACTTTACCTTGTTTTGAGTTTGTTTAAATTTTTGGTGTCGGCACAATTTACAGTTTATCCGACATCTGCAAACTTTATTGGAACAAGTCATAAAAGACTTGCTTTTACTGCAAATATTTATTGTGAGCTCATCAAATCAACTTCGGGATTTGATATTATAGAGCATAAGCCTCCCCAAACCAACTTCAGGGCTTGGAAGTATCCGGCTTTGTCACGTTTGGCTAGGTCATACCAACTTCAGGGTGTGAAACACGTTTAGCCTTAGCAACGAGGACCGATTTATTGTGGTCCGAGTGATCAAACAAATTATAGAGGTTCATCACACAAACTTTATTGATAACAAAATGTGGTTCTTGTACATGAGTAGGACAAACTTTTTACACGTTAGGGACAGAACTTTGGCCTTCAAGTTTACTGGTAGTACTTCTTCAGATAGGTCGTGTGCCAGGGATAGTGAAGAGGAACACCATCTAGAGTTTCAAGTCGGTAGGTACCATTAGAAATCAGACGATTTACTTTAAAGGGTCCTTCCCACTTTGGTTGTAACGGGCCGACATTGGCCCCAGTGACTCTTTTCAGTAGAAAGTCTCCTTTGACAAATGAGCCCGGTTTGAGTCTGGAATTGATATACTTTTCACTACGTCGTTTATAAGCGGCATTCCGAGTTTCAGCATCGGCCCGTAACTCATCGACCAAATCGAGACTGGCTTTCAGGTTTGCCGAGGTTGGTTTCTTCAGAGAAATGAGTAACCCGATATGTCGGAGAAGTAAGTTCAACCGGTATCACAGCTTCAGTCCCATATGTTAACGAAAATGGAGTTTCTCCAGTCGAATTTCTTGTCGTCGTCCTGTAAGACCAGAGGACATAAGGTAACTCGTCAGGCCATGATCCCTTTGCAGCCTCGAGTCGAGTTTTCAGACCATTCTTGATAATCTTATTTACGGCTTCTATCTGTCCATTAGCTTGTGGATGATAGGGTGACGAAAAGAAGTGCTTGATGCCGTAGTCTTCCCAAAAGCTTTCAAATCGCTTCCCTTCAAACTGACGACCATTGTCGGTTATGATGGAATTCGGTACTCCAAACCGACAAACGATTGATTCCCATACACAATCGATCATCTTTTGTTCCGTGATGGTTGCAAGAGGTTCGGCTTCAACCCATTTAGTGAAGTAGTCAGCAGCTAATATTGCAAACCGAACACCCCCTTTTGCTGTTGGAAGTGGGCCGATCAAATCAATTCCCCATTTTGCAAATGGCCATGGGCTATATATTGACTTGAGAAGTTCAGGATGTGGATTAACGTTAGGAGCGAATATCTGGCATTTGTGACATTTTCACACCTAGTCTGCGGCATCTTTCCTGATAGTCGGCCAGTAGTAGCCCTGTCGGAGGATCTTGTGGGATAAAGCTTGAGCTCCTTGGTGGGTACCGCAGACTCCTTCGTGTACTTCTTGAAGAACACGTTGGGCATCAATCTCTGGCAAACACTTAAGCAATGGAATAGATTATCCACGCTTATATAACGTTCCCTGATCAATAGTGAAATGAGCCGCACGAACACGAAGAGTGCGGGCTTCTTTTGGGTCTTCAGGTATGGCCCCAGTTTGAAGATAGTCGAGGATTGGATCCATCCACGTCGGACCTGAGGTTGATGAAGTTGCGTCAATCATGACGACGTCGGTAGCGACTGTTGATGAGGTCGCCTGTTGAGTAATTTGCACGAACTCGACATTATTCAAATCGGTCGACGAGGCCAAACGTGAAAGAGCATCTGCTTGAACATTGGATGATCGAGGTACATGTTCCAACGTCATTGTAAACCGTGAAAGTTTCTTCTTTGTGAGATCAAAATAAGTCAACAACCGTGGTTCCTTAACTTCGTATGTGCCATTAATATGGCTGACTAGCAATTGAGAATCGGAAAATATTCAGAGAGATGAAACATTCATGGATTCGGCAAAGCGTAGGCCTGATAAGAGGGCCTCATATTCGGCTTCGTTATTGGTGGCCGGGAAAGTGAATGCTACGGAGTAACAAAACGCTTGTTGATCCGGACTAACTAAGACAATCCCTCCTCCAGCTCGTATAGCGGTGGACGATCCATCGATGTAAAGACTCCATGTCGGATGTTCAATGGATGTACTGACAATTGGAGTAAATTCAGCAATGAAGTCAGATAATACTTGAGCTTTGATAGCGGTTCGTGGTCGGTACTGAATATCAAACTGTCCCAGTTCTATCGCCCACTTGATCATTCTTCCCGACGTGTCAGGTCGGTGAAGGACTTGTCGGAGAGGGTATGTTGTAAACACGATAATGGAATGTTCCAAAAAATATGGGCGCAACTTCCGTGCGGCGATGATCAGAGCAAAGGCTAGCTTCTCCATATATGGATATCGCAATTCAGCATCATGTAAAGCCTTGCTAACGTAATATATCGGGAACTGTTGAAGCCCTTCCTGTCGTATAAGAACCGCACTAACAGCAACGTCACTTACGCCCAGGTACAAATACAAAGGTTCATCAGGAAGTGGTTTTTGCAACGTCGGTAACCTTGAAAGAACTTCTTTGATGTTGTCAAAAGCATTCTGACATTCTGCAGTCCATTCGAACGGCTTCTTCTTTTTGACAGCGTCAAAGAACGGCTTGCAATGATCTGTCGACTTTGAAATGAATTGATTTAGAGCTGCCAGTCGACCAGTTAAAGCTTGGACACCCTTAATAGATGTCGGGGGAGTCAAGTGAAGTATGGCTTGAATCTTGGCGGGATTGGCTTCGATCCCTCTCTGACTCACCATGTATCCTAAAAACTTCCCTGATCCAACTCCAAAAGTACATTTCTTAGGATTAAGCACCATAGAATACTCTCGGAGAATGTCAAAGACCTCGGAAAGATGGGCGATGTGATCAGAGGCATGTTCCGATTTTACTAACATGTCGTCCACGTAAACTTCCATCATGTGGCCGATCAAACGAGCAAACATCTTATTGACCAACCTTTGGTATGTGGCCCCTGCATTCTTCAATCCAAAAGTCATCATGACATAGCAATAAAGGCCTCGAGCTGAGTAGAACGAGGTATGTTCAGCATCATCGGGGTGCATGGGAATTTGGTTATAGCCGGAATAGGCATCCAAGAAACTCATGAGTTGGTGTCCCGATGTGGCATCTACCATGTAACTAATGTGTGGAATGGGGTAGCTATCTTTCGGGCACGCTTGATTCAAATCTGAAAAATCTATGCACAGACGCCAAAGGCCGGTGGCTTTCTTGACCAAGACAGGATTCGATATCCATGTCGGGTATTTGGCTTCTTTGACGAACTTATTGTCTATGAGCTTGTTTACTTCCTCTTCAAGGGCCTTCTGGCGATCTGGGCCGAATTTCCGGCGTTTCTGAATAACGGGTTTGACAGTCTTATCTAAATTCAAGCGATGACATGCTTTTTGCGGGTCAATTTCTTTCATGTCTTCATGCTTCCAAGCGAATACATCGGAGTTTGACTGAAGGAACTGAATTAAGCTTGACCGAATGGGTTCTTGAAGGTTAGCTCCAATGCGCAGTGATTTTTCCTGAGTCGATCCATCCACGTAAATGGTTTCGACATCTTCAACTGGTTCCGCTCGGACATGATGACTTCCATCTTTAAACTGCATCCGTGGATCCATATCTTCATGTATTCCTATGTCTTTCTCATGAAAAGGTTGCTCTTGATCAAGGGCTTCAGTTAATGTTTCGGGCAAAACCGACGTCATAGGGACATCGGTATCTGCCAGAGGAATGTCGGTATCGAGAACGAACTGATCGGCCCCTTCAGCATCAGGGGTTGGGTTGTCCAACCCAATAGAGGTATCAGTATCCTGCTCTTCAGTCATATGACAGTTACGTGAGGTTGAGAGCAACATCAGACTTCAGGCTTCTCGTTGATCTCCGTAATGAGTGCCTTCTCCCTCAATGGTGGGGAACTTCAGGGCATAATGGAAAATTGACACAGCAGCACGAAGTTTGTAAAGTGCAGTTCGCCCTATTACAGCATTATATTCATTCTGGACATCCAAGACTTTGAAAGTATCCATAATAATCTTGGATTTTGGTCCAAAGCCACCAAACCGAATAGGGAGCAGTATTTTGCCGACAGGGCAGGAAATGCTTCCATTGAAACCTTGAATTTGGTCGTTGCAAGGCCTAATGTCTGCTGGGTCCAAACCCAATTTCTTGAACGTGCGGAGCATCAAAATACTTGAGTAAGCTCCTGTGTCAACCAGAATCCGATGAACAGGAATCCCTCCAATCGGGGCCGTTATAATAAGGGCGTCGGAATGAGGATGAGCGAATAGATTGGCATCTTCGATACTGAATGTGATAGGACAATTCCGTTTGTTGATGGTATCTCGAAGATCAACATTCATGACTCGTTTCTCGGCATTTTGTGCCTCCCGGGCATAGGCTTTGACTTTCCGTCGAGAAGTATCCAGCTGCTTGTTATTGGAATTAACTCGAGGTATGCAATGTGAAGAGTCTAAGGCGTCATGTGTCTTGGATTTTCTACAGTTATCAGTCGAGGTTCCGACATGAGTAGAGAATGTGAAAACCTCCTTGTCGTTTGCACGAGCTTTTTTCGGATTAACAGGTCTGTAATCATCATCTTCATCATCTGAAAGATCCAAGGGCCTTCCTTTCCGGCGGTTATCAAAATTTCGAAACTTTTGAAGCTGAGGTTGTCCAATTAACCGTAAGAGTGCCGACAAAAGACCGAGACACTCATCAGTATTATGTCCCGGAGACTTGTGATATGCACAGTATCGAGTTTTGTCCAGCTTATCTTCAGGGGTTCTCACGGGCCTCGGGTCTGGAATAATCCCTTTTCCTTTTAGTTCTTCATATATGGTAGCTGCTCCGGCTGAATAAACGGCCTGATAGCCTGTCCTGACGTTGTCTGAATACTGATCACGAGCGGCCCTAGACTCTGGAGTGTTTTCATATCCTTTGGAGAAATTCCGAAACTGTGCTTTCCCAAAGTTCTTCTTATTCTTCTTTTTAGCGTCCGGTTCAGTCTTGTTTTCTTTCACCGAGAAGTCGAAACTGGGAACCGACATCAATTCCTCGGCAATAATAAATTGTTGAGCTCGCACAAGAAATTCTTGAAACGTAGCAGGTTTATTTTGGCACAAGGTCCAGCGAAACATTGAGTTGGGCTTCAGTCCAGAGATGGTGGTTACTAACAAGGTTTCAGGGTGACAAGGCTCCATGTTCTGAATTCGGTCGTTAAACCGAGACACGTAGTCCTTAACAGTCTCGTCATCCTTTTGCACGATGTTGGTAATTGATTCTTTTGGGATGAGACAAATTTGAGCTCCGATAAAGTGCGATCGGAAGGCCGCACGTAACTGTTGCCACTTCCAAATTGAATGAGGTGGGAGGGTATAGTACCATTTTTGTGCTCGTGGCCCTAGTGTAAGTGAAAACATCCGACATCTCAAAGCATCTGAGGCACCATGCAAATCCATCCAAGACGTATAATGGCCTAAGTGTGCATCCGGATCCGATGTCCCATCATACATGCCAATTTGTGGGATTTTTACCTTAGCTGGGAGGGCCTCCGCGGTAAGTTCCGGAGCTAAAGGGGAATCAGCTTCAATAATGACATTTCCCGACGTCGAAACATGTCGGGGAGAGTCTTCTTGCGACTTCTGTTGGGTCTCGAGTTCAGCCAAGCGTTTACGAAGAGTTTCAATTTCTTCCACACTATGTCTTGAAATACGATTCCGTTCAATCTGGCACCGCAAATCTTCTCGACCATGAGGCACTGGTGAAGTAAGACTAGGACGTGACGGAATTCGCTGATGATGAGCAGAGTGACTTTCAGCAGTCATTTCTTGTACAGGGGGCTCCTCCGGGGCTTGATTGTTCGTTATTGGGTTAGCAGTTATACGAGTTAACTCTTCTCGACGTGGTGAAGTATGGTGAGGTTGTGACGTAGCATGGGATGTTGCCGCATGCGTTTCGGGGTCATGACGGGTATGAGTTGGATGTTCTGTTGGATTGGTAGTTAACGGCATCGATAATGGTACCGTATTCGAGTTTCTGGGCATGGCTCGAGCTATCAAAGAGGTTAAACCTTGAATAAACTCCGGGTTTTGAAGAAAGTTCGTGACGTTCGTGACCGGAGGGAGCGGTGTTGAGCGCCGCGGAGAATGATTAGTCGATTGGCTCTGGCCAGGGTGAGTTGTATGATCTCGACCAGACTGCGACATGGCGACTTCAAGCGTGAAAATGGCTTTAACAGCGAAAATTAACCTCAAAACGTGATGAGCCCTTCCTCTAGCGCCAAACTGTTGTTAAACGGGAATTAACAACTACACAATCAACAGGGGTTTATGATAAATTTAAGATAAAGCAACAAAGGATGTATGAACAGTGAAAGGAGATAAAAATTTTTGGATATTATTGTAAGTGTCTGTCTTGACTGGTTGGAGAACTGTTTTCTCCTTTTATATTTATTTACAACATTTATCTATTACGTAATCATTACACGAGAATAGTCAACGGCGGCTAATTGCCATCCATGATAGTAGCATGCCACTTGGCCAGGCGTAATGATGAGTTGTGCTGAGTTGGCACCGCCTCGTGGTGTCGGTTTAGCAAGTCGTAGATATCGGCTCATGTAGTTATGACCGATATGCCATATCCGAAGTGTAGTAACCGACATGTCATGACCGACATGAGATATCGGTCAATCGACGACGATGTCGGTTCTTGATGATTTTTTACCCGATAAGCGATTGTCTTGAGATTGGTGTCAGAACCTTGAGATCCATAAAGACATTATCTACTTGTTCAACTTCAATCATCATTCTACTGAACATAATCATGTGCTCAACGTCGCTTAATTCGGTTTACTGAAAACGATGTCAACATGAAATATAAACTAAACATTAAATATCCCATTTTTTCATGCAATCTCATTACTCTATTAACAATAAAATATAAAATGTGGCTGGTCAAAGCATGAATACAATTTTCTTTAGTTTGTCAATCAATCATTTATTTAAAATTTTAATCATCATTTAAAATAATTTATTAATTTAAATCCTTTTGCTTATTCCCAAATCCTATATAAGTAGTCAAAAAAGACAGCAAACAATCACTCCAATCTAAACTCTACTCTAGAAGTACCTACACGAGCCAAAAAACACACTTTTTCTGGATTCAAAATTCCCAAAAACATCACGATTTCACACTTTGAAAATTTAACTTACTTGGCCAAAAACAAAAAAATGGCTGCAAAGCTGAGGTTGGTGAGATATTTTCCCAAGTTCTACAAGTCGACCAAAGATAGCATTAGAGAGCTAGAATTCGTATTTCATGATGTTAAGGTATTTAATTTTTTTTTTTTTTTTGCATCTGATTATTGTAATTCATTTATATGTGTCAAAATATTAATTTCCTAATGATATATTTTGTCTTTTTTAGGGACAACAGATTCATGGTTCGGCGCCCGGTTCGTTGGCAAAAAAATTCAAAGACTTTAACCTTACCGAAGGACACGTGTATGTCATTACAAGTTGGGAACTCGAGGAGGACAAGAGTGCTTTCAAATTAACCGAATCAAGTCACAAGCTTGAGTTTGGTAAAGATACTAAAATGTATGAGGTGGTTGAAAACAACTACCCGAGATTGTTGTTCAACTTCAAGGACTTCAAAGAACTATCCGACCCTCAAGAAATCGATTCAAATAAAATTTTTGGTAATCTTTTTTCTCTTCATGGATTTAAATATTGTTTCTCTTTTGCTACAATGTATAAGTTTAAATTATATTGTTTAATTGTTTAATTTTTTAGATTTAATTGGTCGTATCGCTTTGGTTCAAAGCGTAAGAACTACAAATTCAAATGGAGTGGAAAAGAAATTCATAGACGTGGTGCTAGAAGATGTTGAGTAAGTTAAAGATCATAGATGTTGAGTAAGTTAAAGATCATAGCACTTTGTGACATTTCAAGTAATTACGATTTGTTTCTTACTAAAAATTCATTATCTATAATTTTGTCAAGGGGGCGCCATTTGGCTTGCACATTGTGGGAAGGATATGTGCAAGTCAATGTTGATGCCTTGAACAATTCTCCGATGACTAACTTGTGTGTAGTAATTGTTCAATTTTGCAAAGCAAGGGCTTTTGAGGATGGTACGTTCTTCACATTGAAAGATTTTTTTAATCCTTACAATTAATATTGTTCTTTTTTAATCCTTACAATTAATATTGTTCTCTAAATAATTTTTCATCTCCTTTAGGATCTATAAAATTTGGGAACATTTTTGATGCTACTAAGCTTATCATGGGTGATGTACCCGAAATTTTGGACTTCAAAGAAAGGTAATGATATTTAAATTATTTTTTGTACTTTCTTATTGTATCATAATATACTTTATCAATTGATTAATATATTGGCTTTTTCAAAATTTATTGGTTGAATATAAAGGTACAACTCACACATAAGGCCAAGTGAATCAACATTCCAATATGTGAGGCCCTTCATATCTAATACTGGTGAAGATTTCGAGTCCGGAATTTCTCCGGTAACGTGTGTGGCTGATTTTTGAAAGCTAATGAGGTAGAAATAATATTATAAATTAATTAATTAATATATATATGAAATTATTAAATCTTCAAATTTATTAATTAATATTCGGATCACTTACATGCCAAGTGGAATTTATTTTTTATTTTCAGGAAAGTAATTATTGGATATATGGCAATATCATTGACATATCCGGCATTTTTTTCTTCAAATCTTGCCCGGAATGTGTTCGGAAAGTGGAGGCCAAAGGAGAGAGTTTTTGGTGCAATTATTGCAATGACTCAATTCCTTTTGCGATTCTTAGGTAATTGTATTTCTCATTTTATAATTATCGTCTATATTTATATTATTTTATAATTTTATGATATCTTAATTTTAAAAATGTTAAGGTACAAGCTCCACATTTCAATTGTGGACGACACGGGACCACTTTTGTGTTGGGATAAAGTTTCAAGAGAGATGATTGGAAAATCTTGCGAAGAAGTTGTCAACGACATGCTGAAGGCATGCACCCTTATTATTCCTCTAAATGTCCTAATGATTAGTTACATTTCAAAAGATTTATTATTCTTATGATATATTCTATAATGCAGGAAGATGATGGAGCTCTTTTGCCAAGTGGAATTGAGCTATTGAATGATAAAGCATTCATGTTTAAAGTGTCGAAGAAGAAGGATCAATTTGGATCTTACAAATGTCCATTTACGGTTGCTCGCATTACCGCTGATCCTATTTTGCTCAATCGATTTGGACCTCTGCCAATAACTTCACAGGTTATTACCTAATTAATTCTACATATAATATATAAAATTATATTTTTTGCTAATTTATATTTTTCTAATAATGAAGGAATCAAATGGTGAACTGCTCAGCCCAATCAGGGCTGTAGAAGCTAAAGTGAACAGTCCAAAAAGGGTTGTGCAGGCTGAACTGAAGGAGAACAGCCCAATATGTGCTGCACATTCTGAAATGAACAGCCCAATAAGAGCTGAAGATGATGAAGGTTACAGCCCAATAAGGGCTATTAATACTGAACTGTACAGCCCAAACAGGGCTGTAAAGGCTGAAGTTCACAGCCCAGACTGGGTTGCAAATGGTGAAATGGACTGTCCACTTATTGCTGGAAATGGCTGCAAGAAAAAGATTAAGAAGAGGGAACAAACTGAGGTGTTTGGAGAAGGATCAAGCTGTTCAGAGAAGCCAAAAGGGCAGAAGAAGATAAAGATTGAAAAACTTTGAAAGTTGAAAAAAAATTTGTGTGCTTAGTAATTTCAGAAACAATTTCAATTATGATTTTGTATTCTTATCGCAATTACAAGAAATTCCATTAATAAATATTCTTGCTTCCTATTTGTTAATGTTTGTGCTATGCAATTACTTGAACTATATTCAGTCAAACTATTAATCAGTCATACAACAACATAGCAACAGGATTTGTTCTCTATCCAAAACAACAAAACAGCTAAATTAATCAACAAATAACATAAACATATAATATCAGTATTCTAAAGCAAATAGCTTAATCAGTTCATTATTTTTTACTCGAATGAAAACATCAAAGCATCAAAAACAGATCCATTAGTAAGCAATTAACTTCATCAGATTATACAAGTTGTCTAAGGCAAAAACCTCTATCAGAATAGTGTTTTTAACTCTAATCATAACAGCAAAACAGCACCAAGAAATAAAACCATCAGAAATGATCATTTAACACTTAATCATTTAACACATAACGTCAAAACAACACCAAGAAGTATAATTTAAACAGCAAGTTGTGGGTGTGCAACACATATTCATGTATTAAAACAAAACCACTTAATGAGTAAACAACGAACAAATCTTTTAAGTGTTGTGGCATAACAGAAAGTACAATTTAAATATCAAGGTCAGGGCAGCAACTGAATCATGCATTTAGGGGTTCAACATTAAAAAAACCAAAATAAGTAATGTCATATAATCATGCTTGCAAAAAACAAAATTAAATAATGTTAAAATAAAATGTCCATTGAACATCACTTAATATTCAGTCATCCAAAACATTTAAAATTTTAAGATTGAACATAATCAAAATATCACTAATTTCAAAACATAGCACTTTTTATGATTGAACA